TAATTGTCATATAACCTCAGATTGGGGGCACGGAAGTGTCTAAATAATGGCAGCTAATTTGCTTTGTATTGTGTTTTCCTGATGGGTTTAAATTGAATGAGTCAGGATCCATTGTGTCGTAATGTGAAAGCTGGGGCGCTGGTTCACACCGGAGACATCCAAGGTCACGCTACTCCAACTGAAGGGGTGACGGAGAAGGGAGTGGGGGGGTTAAAGGAAGGCAGCTGAGTCAATGGACGGCCATTGGCACCAAATTCAACCTTGAATTATTGCTAGAGCTTCTCTATTAATCTAGAATACATTCTTTTTTTGTCATGCACATTAAAGATTATTCATTGTAATCCTCCCTAATGCCTCTAATTGGGCTTTTATGACTTACAAACTGTATCTTTGTCTCTTTTTCCTGCTTCTGGCGTTTGTTTTTCTTCCTTCCCGCCACGCTGCGGAGTGACATTGAGCCTCTCCCTGTCGGGGTGCTCTCCTGTCTCACTCCAGTGCACATTTTCTCTGTCCCCTCTCCTCCTCCCCGACACGATGAGCTTTTGACTGAATACATTATCCGAGCTGTTGTTCTGTTTGTTGTTGTTTTAGCATCCGAGAAAAGAGATGAATTATTAATGATGACAGACTCAAAAACAAAGGGGAGAATAAAAAAGTAGTCTTTTTTTTGTAGGGGCGCTGCTGCGGCTCCATCAAGAGGCTGGCAAATAAGACTGGAAAAGGACTTTAAAACACACGCATCACTTACAGTCATTTTGTTGTTTAGCAGGTATCAATAAAATACTCACTGGTTTATTCTGGGAGAAACAAACACTTAGTTTACTTAATACTTGGTAAACAAGACTGAATTTCTGGTTTATAGGCACAACTTTATACATTTGCCAACACTATATATTACAAATATTTCTACCATTATTTTCCAAGGTAATTTGTTTTTATTTTTTAAACCATGTGATTGCTTCTTTATTTAATATCTATGTAAACTCTTATATTTTGACCTTTTATGTGCACTGTACTTTGCGCTTTCAGTTCCCCGCTGCGTTATGACTAAAGGATTCTGATCCTGATACTGTACCATCACTTCATAATGATAGCTTTACCTCCTCGGAACACAAAATAAATCTGTAAGATTTTGTTGGGGCAAGCAATTTTCATTTAAATTAATCTATTACTATCACTGTTGTAAATCTAAATAACATAAGCTGGTATGCTAAATTACCTATATAAGCTAATATTTAACCTTTTAAGCCCCCTTTAAATGCAATTCTGACAAAAAGAAATCCCAATTTAATATGGTTTGTACCCCTTTTCCTAGAGACTCCCACTATAAAACGTTCCTGGTTCACCCTTCTGATTCATACACTGCAGATCACAAGCTGTTTTATAACTACTCAGTAATTTGAGTTAAATTGAGAGTCAATAAGGGAACATAACTAATTTATTAGCACATGCCTGAGGAGGAATGTTTGCATTTAAGGTCAGCTAAGGCAACAATTAATAGAAAATGAATTAAACACAATGCCAAAGAAAGAGAGATGCACAAGTTTGACATATTATGCAAAAAATCTCACATACTAGGATTTTAAAATAATCTTCTCAACAAAGTGTACAACATTATTCCTTATTAAAACAGCAGTTTGGATTATTCGGTGCAACATGTTGTAACAATCATTGTTGTCTGCCCCTGGTTTCTGTCTTAATACTCCCGTCAAAGTCAGAGTACCTATCTTAATTTCCCTGATCTGAAGCAGGGATTGCTGTGCCCCCTCTTGGTTATACATCAGCACTGCATCGTCAGTCCAAAAGCTTCATTATGGCCACCTCATGTGATCATTAGAGTGATTAGTCACAGACATACAGGAGGGTGGCACATCAGAAGCAGGAGACACATTGTTTCACTGTATAGGATCAGATGGCAGATTTGTCTAAAGAAACAGCCTGGGGTGACAAATTAACCGCGGTGATTGTGTCAGTTTGTCCCCGCGTTGAATGGCAGACGTCGGCCATTCATCACAGCACTTTCCTAGGGTTCAGTGAGGAGACTGAATGAAGAAGAATGATGGAGGGACAGGGCTTGTCCACCGTCAAACCGCTTCTGTTCTTGTTTATTTTCTCCTGCGCTGCCAAGCACCATGAATCAAACTAGCTTGACTTTGTGTCAAAACCACGTCCTCTACACCCATTTAAAACACGGCAGCCTTGAATTGTGATTGATTTTAACACCAAGCAGGACTATTTTTCCCCATCGTTTGTATTTATAGCGCCTCTTCTTCGACCAGGGGAAGAGGAGAGAGAAAAAAAGAAAAAAGGCCTGCGTGTTTGGAGTTTACAGGATCAAAGAAGAGGTAAATATCATTTCCATAACATTTGAACCAGTTAACCAGCAGCACAATGCAGATAAACACTACTGTAAGCGCCTGACAATGCCAATGAGGCAGGAACTCGGTGATTTGCCGCTTCGCCAAAGAGGAGGGAAGCGAGCGCCAACATGGAGGAGGTCAAAGGTCAACTGCGCTCTCCCTTCCAAGCCTCCCCTCCAGCGGTGGTGGTGTTTTAGGCAACCGAAGCTCACTTTTAGGGGGTGGGGGGGGGGGGTAGATCCCAAGGTGAATGGAAAGAATAGCTGCTTCCACACTGCCTGGGGAGGGCTACACTGCTTTGGGTGATTCACGTATTGATTATTTCTACCCAAGCATGGAGGTGCCATGTAAACACACATATATTAGCAGACTGCAACACATGTGCAGACACCGGAGTGGAAGCGCGCCCCCGGGCCTATACTCGCTGTTTTATAATCACATTCACCAGCTCGTGGGCATCTTCAAACCACAAGGCACATGCATCTGATGGAGAGCTAAATAGGACATGAATGAAGAGATGAAGGAATAAATAAATGATAAATGTGATGCGCTGTTTGTGTGGGCCACATATCGTGGTATTGATCTGAGCGTGTTTTGTGGGTGTGTGGACGTTTTTTATTGTTATGCTTGATCTGATGGATGCTAAATGTGTGGAGTTTTAATTGTTCTCAATGGTGCATTTAAAGTTTTATCATGTAAGTGGGATGGAAAATGGATTCTGTATGCTTTACTATTCAACGGGAAACTTTTATCTTTTTTTTATCACTTTCACAACTTCCCTCGACAAAAGTGTCTTACTGCCTTCTTTGGCATCCTTTAGTTGCCTTTGCTCAGTCTGATCTGATGGCTTATCTGATACACTATTGGCTAGCTGTCTTATTCTGTTGAGATGGAAATTACCAACAAGGCCTTCCACTTCAACCATTTGCATATTTAAATAGTCCGATATATGTTGAAAGGCTCTACCAAGAGGTTTTAGAAGAGTTGCCTCAGTCTGCCATGCTTTATATACTATGCTGTTTTTTTAAAGTCTCAATGTACAGAGCATTCATGTCAAGCTAGTCCTGAGATAATCAGGAACAAGCTTCATGCAAGAGATGAATTTCAATTGAAACCAGCTCCTGATTTCTTAATTGAACTTGAATTAATGTCTAGTCTTTACCCAGATTGGAGTCGTGTTCAAATGACCTTGACTGTTCGCTACAAGGTGAATCCTACCTTTAAGATCTTTTCCAAAAGCGAATACATTTCAAACTCTTACATTTACTTTTTTGCTTCTGCACTGGGAGTATCCTGCAGTGGCATATGTTTTCAAGACAGGTGTTATTTACTTCATATAAAATACCCTTCTTCCCCAAATTATTACAATCAATTTAAATTAAAACATTACATTTTATCTATATTTACTAAATGTTGTTGCCATAGAATTGTGATGATAAAAAATGAGACAGAATACTATATAAAAACAATGTACTGTCTATTATATACACACAATATATCAAATGTTTTTATTCTTGTTTTATTTATGATGTATTTGTGTCTATTCATTATGAAGTGTGTATTTCTCTGTACTTTTTTCAAATTATATTTTTTTATTTCATCCCTAAATTATATTTTTCTATATTATTTAAATTGGTAAAACGGTGCAATAGAGGGAATTTGGCTGGTAGAGATTTCGAAAATAATTTATTAAAAAGTTTAAAGAATGTTGTGGCCTGACAACACATTCTTTTTATGGTGTATATTTCTACATAAGTGAACCTGAAAATGAATCCATGGCCTCATCATCACTTCATTAACCCTGATGTGGTCGCATGACAGACGTGTCCTCCAGGATTTGAGACAGCTTGTCCCTGTCTCTCTCTCTCCTGAGACAATAATCACCGAGTTCTTCTTCAAAGGTCCACGTGTGCTGATAGCATCTCATATCATCACTGGATCATAACTGTACATGACAGAGTAGCATTTCATGTTGGTCTACATTATAAATCCAGTTCTCTTTTGTCTGCATAATCATGATCATCGCTGCTCAGGTTGAAATCCAACCTTTCCCTAAAAACAGAGAATGCCAGAGTTGTCACTAACATTGGATATCAGTGCTTTGGGCTGAAAAAGAGCTGTTTCTCTTTCCACAGACTTTAGACTCTCCCTTAGGGGCGGTAATGGCATTCTCCATGACAACGGCGGTGTGACACGGCTGTGCCCTTGAGGGCCGGGCGCTCCCTCTGGGGGGGTGGGGGGAAACACGACAGGGTCAACGGTCACCTCCCATCATCCACCAGCAACCCATCCTCTCTCCCCGTCTCCTCAGGTGGAATTGCAGAGAGAAAGAAAAGTCTTGAAGCTAGCCCACTCAGTCCAGGCCTGGCAAACGTGGAGCTTTAGCCACGGGCGGTTCTGGCGAGGTCTCTACCTCGCACAGCTCCTTGCTGTTCCTCCAAGGCCAGGGCTGGATCAATACGTATAGTGCAGCGGATTCTTTTGGCACCCAAGTATAGCTATGCAGTATCGCCCCGAGGTGTGGGTCCGTTAAAGACACAACAGTGTGTGCAAAGTGGACTGAGTTTATTCAGGAAGGTGTTGGCATAAAACTGATTTCAACACTGATTTGTTTTGCAAGAAATACAATAAATTCTCATGTCATTAAATGCAGGTTTATTCTGGGAAAGTCCTTATAATTGACAGACAAAGCATTGCGAAAAATAAATATTATAATAATGTGTCATGTGAGTTCATTAATGCTCTTGAGCCATAAGAAAACAATATTAACTGTAGCTTAAAATAATAAAATGTGTCTCTGAGACTTCACATAAAACCTCATCTATAGATTTGATTCTTTTTTAAATAATACTGTACTGCCACCTGCTGGCCAAACAGCAAATCAGTTGTACTGCATTCTTTATAAATTATAACATTTACAACCTAGAGGAAAACTAACTCTGGCACAGAAATAAAATAAACCTATTATTGCACATTCATTTGTTTTACACAAACAAAAACTCTCACGTCAGCTTTGCATCCGCCTTGGCACATCTTCAATAAAAATTCAAAAGGAAGTAAAGAAAAAACAGGACGTTGTCTCTATCCTGTACATTTGGCTGTGTGGACAAAATATTTATGTTCAACATAATCTAAAGTCCAACTAAATGAGACGGCAACGTCTCTTTGAACTAAAAAATACAAGAATACAAAAAAAGTCAGTTGCTTGTCATAAAACTGATGCAAAAATACTGTTCATCTACTTAGAAATGATCCAGGGACAGTCAGGCACCTACAGAAGAGAAGAAGACAAAACTGAAAGAAATGTATATCACGGTTTTCTTCTATATGCAGGTATTAAAATGGCGACAAGATATACAGTCAGATGCCCAGAAATGTCCTCCTTTTTCTATGTTAGATGTTATTTTTCAAAGGAAATATGGATTGAAGACATATATTTATTTGTTTAAACGATTAGGGGCTTATTTGTGACATTTCTTGAATAGGAGACTTTGCTATGGCTTTGTGGTGAAATAGTGTTGTCTTCTTTCAGTTTTTACTCTTCAGTAGTACATCTGCAACTTTGTACAACTACTGGCTTTAAAACACAATGACAAACCAAGCGGGAAATAGTGCAGTACTGCTACGTATCTGTATCACATCAAAGCTAAAGCACTAAACCCTAAAATCAGTGGTCTGTGGAACTCACCATTTTGGTAGGGGGACCTGGGGGGTGATGGAGGTGTACCGAGTGGTCTGCTCTGGACCTGAGCGCCTAAACCCTTCCCTGTGCTCCTGAGATGGGACCTCTGCACGCGCAGCGCTACGGCCTCTGCAAACCTGGAGGGGGCTGGGTTAGCAGGTTTTCTGGAAGACTCCTTCTGATGAATCCCGTTGGAGGTAGGACTTGGTTGCTGAGAAGAAGACAGAGAGGAAGCATCTTCTTTCTCCTCTATGGTTTCTTCAAAGTAGACGGGTGGAGGAGGGGGAGGGAAACAGTCCTCGGTTTCTTCCTCTTCTTGAACCACTTCCTGCTTCACTTCAGCGAGTGAACCACAATGGTTTACGTCTTTACTCTCAGACTCTTCATTGTGGCTTTGATCCTCCAAGATGATCTGACCGTCACGCGGAAGTTCAGAAGGTTCTGCACTCTGGAAAGGTGTTTCAAACTGTTCTGGACTTCCCAAGGGTGGTTCGGAAGGTTCTGGACTCTGCAGAGTTTTTTCGGAAGACTGTTGAATCTGCAAAGGTTTTTCAGAAAGTTCTGGACTACCCAAAGGTTTTTCAAAAGGTTCTGGACTACCCAAAGGTTTTTCAGGGGGTTTTGGACTCTGCAGGGGTTTTTCACAAGTTTCTGGACTCTGCAAGTGTGTTTTTGAAGAGCCTGGACTCTGCAAAGCCGTTTCGGAAGGTTCTGGACTACCAGAAGGTTTTTCAGGGGTTTTTGGACTCTGCAGAGGCGTTTCAGAAGGTTCTGGACTACCAGAAGGTTTTTCAGGGGTTTTTGGACTCTGCAGAGGCGTTTCAGAAGGTTCTGGACTACCAGAAGGTTTTTCAGGGGTTTTTGGACTCTGCAAAGCCGTTTCAGAAGGTTCTGGACTACCAGAAGGTTTTTCAGGGGTTTTTGGACTCTGCAAAGCCGTTTCAGAAGGTTCTGGACTACCAGAAGGTTTTTCAGGGGTTTTTGGACTCTGCAAAGCCGTTTCAGAAGGTTCTGGACTACCAGAAGGTTTTTCAGGGGTTTTTGGACTCTGCAGAGGCGTTTCAGAAGGTTCTGGACTACCCAAAGGTTTTTCGGAACATTCTTGAACCAGTATTGTTTTTTGAGAAAGGTCTGGACTACGCAAAGGTTTTTCAGGAGGTTCTGGACTCCGGCAAGGTGTTTTAGACGGTTCTTGACTCCGCACTGGTTTTCCACAAGAGTCTTGAATCTGCAAGGGTGATTCAGAAAGTTCTGGACTACGCAAAGGCTTTTCAGGAGGCTTTGGACACTGCAGAGATTTCTCAGGAGGTACTGGGTGCTGTAAAGGTGTTTCAGTCCCTGGTGGATCCTCTTCAGGCTCAGCAGTAGAACCTTCACTCTCAGGGTGATCTTCTACGGTTCCCTGCTCTGTGGTGAGTTCAGGATCGTAGGACTTCCCAGAGGGAACCACTTTAAACGTGGTCATTCCCTTCCTATGTGCGGGATCCTGCCACTCAGTTGGGAGTTTGTGTTCTAGAACAGATTCTACGCAGAACCCCCCGTTAACCGAACGCCCCGGAGTCATGGACTTTAAGGAGTCGTCGTTGTAGAGCTTTGGGAAGGAGGCAGAGTTCCTCACACGCCTGACCAGCGCTCCTTTGGACATGGAGGACATCAGGACTTTGGCAAGAGCAGAGCGGGCGTCAGAGAGGTCTTTGCCCCGAAACGAAGGCAGATACGGGTCAGCCACTTCATAGAGATGAGCAAATGAACGGGAGGAGGGTGAGGATGAACGTAAGAAGGATGAAGAGGAACGTGGATGGGATGGTGATGGTGATGAAGACGAGGGCAGTGATACAGATTCTGACTCGTCACTTTCTCTCAGATCCTCTGTCAGGGAGTCTACGGACGCTGGAGAAACAGGAATATTCAAATTAAGGGTCTTCAAAACACAGAGTCAACTTTAATTAATGTTACTTTTAAGGAAAGTAATATTATCAATGAAAGTTCTGCATAAAGAACAGCAACATTCATTATTAAAATATAACGATAACATAAGAAAATGGAATAAGTAACATAAGGGAACTTGGCTCAAATGGAAAACCCTTATGAATCCATTTTAGTAGAAAATTAAGAGACACATTTTTTTAAATAAATCAATCGTAAAGTTGATTTGATTAATACCAGTTTTATTGTTATAAGAGAAATAACAATGAATTATGAATATAAACTTAAATGAATAAATAAATCAGAAAAAAAAGATGAAAGAACCAGAATGAAACATAAATATATAAAACACATATATACTGTAATAGTCAATTAAAAAGAAGAAAAATAAATTAGCATAAAATACAAAGATTTGAAGTATTGATCTGGCTTATGGTGTGTTTTGAAGTAAAGGCACAGCAGTAAGTTCACAAAAGTAATCCATTGAAAGAAAAACACACAAAAAAAGACAAAAGAAGAACAATACAGAATTTCCACCAAAAAACAAGCAGACAAAATAAAAACAAGACAAATAAATAGCTTTTAAGTGCAGTGACAGACATCCATAAAAGCAACTAAGTTGGAAATGAGGAAGAAGAGGCCAGCGCAGGAGGAGGACGGACAGGAGGAATAGGGATGATGGAAGGAGGAGAGGAAGAGGAGACAGCAGCCCTCAAGCCCCCCCTCCAGGTAACACAGAGTCTGTAAGCAGGGAGAGGAGAACGCTTTAGGGCAGCAACGTCTGAAGCTTTAAAGACAAACACAGTGATGAACATGCCCTATTGAACGTGCACAGTCTGTGATCATGTGAGTGTAGGAGGACAGGATGGAGAGTGTGATCAGCAACTCTTGGCTGGGAGTTGTTTTTCCTGCAGAGGATTGATACAAAAAACACGGGAGGGAGCCGAGACTGCTGAGGGCAATTAAGTTGGATAATTAGATTTTGAAAAGAGCATTTTCTATCAGCTCAAAATGTCTGCTTTCTTAAACTGTAGTATGTGCTTCTGTGTTTCATTGTGAAGTGATTCTGGCTAATTACAGGTCCCTAATAACCTAATATCAGAATGGTCAGAATGAAAGGGAACAGCAGGTGGGTGAGCATATCACACTAATACAGGGAGAGTGAGCACTCGGACAATAGAGGGATTTATCTTGGAACAGCCTGTATGAACAAAGCGCGGCGGGTCACTTTAATTGCCCTGAACGGGGTTAAATTGTTCCGACTGATAAAAGCCGCGTTTCGCTCTGGATATAAAGCTTCTATTGGCTTTGACATTTTAATCTTGATTTAACTTCAATCTGTCTTGACCCGGTGTGGCGCTGGCTGAAGCCGTGTGGATTTGGCAGGTACAAGAATTCACCCCACTCTAAAGCTGTTTGATTTTTTTTACGGAAATACTGTAAAAGGTCAATTGGGATTATTCCACCAGCATATTTCATATCCTCTGCCGTTTCAATGATGCTTCAGTGGATGGCAAAATAAAGAGAAAGATACTATGTGATGGTACTGACCTAAACTTATATTTTATACCTCTCAAATAGTCACATTTTACATTTTCCCCCCCCCCAGTCAAATTGAAAGCTCAAAGGTCTTTAATCATGAATGCAGGTTTTACCTTTGACCTCCTGGTGGGTGTTAACACAGGGTGGGGGTGGGGCCCTCCTCTTGGTGCTCCTTAAGGTGGAATCTGCTGACCTCTACGATGACAAAACAAATCCTTTTATTAGCGTGTTTTTTCATTGAGAGCATTTATACCACCATTTTCCAGCTTTATGTGGGAATGTAGCGTTACACATTACCCTGAATATCAAATATTTCATGGATAGACTGCATGTGTTAAAAGGGGTATCATACACTAACAAACACTCTTCTTTCCTTAGTGGAAGTGGGTACATTTCCACCATCCCAGCACCTACTGTACCTGTGACTCTCCGACATGACAGTTCCCGAGGTTGTTGGGGACGCTCTGTGAGGCCCCGATGGGCGGCTGAGGGGCCCGTCTCTTCTTGGGCATCTCCAATGGCAGGGTGTTCGAGGAGGAAAGTACCCGCACATTGTCTCCCACTTGTTTTTTGGGAGCAGGAGAAGCTGGGGCACTCCTTTCCCCGTCCTGGAAAGAGGGGGAAATATAGTTAGGAGCAGAAGACGTTAAAGAGTCAGCCATCTTTGACAACATGATGTACCATTGCAGCTTTGTTCTTCTTCTTTCTGAATAGGCTGAGGAATCCTGTGTTGTCCTTCTGTTTCTTCTCCTGCTTTGGCAGGTCTATATGATAATGAAAGATCTTGATTAGTAATGTAGCAAAAATGGTTGATCATATTTGAGAGTGTGTATGAATGTGTTACCTTGTAGTGGAGGTGGTGTGATGACCTCTGTTTGAGTGACAGCTGATTCAGGCAGAAAACAATGACATTATGAGGTCAGATTTGAACAAATATATATAGAAGCAGGTATATTTTAGGAACTAAACATCTTATTTTAGATGTTGACCTTAGGGTTTTGTCGAAGAAACTAAAAAAAAACAACCGTGAAGTTCAACTGTAGGGTTTTTATCAACAATTTAAGCAGGAAATATGTCTGGAATAGGCTGGAAATGGATATCAATATATATATCAATATGTCCTCTAACGCACCTGCTTCTTGGGGCTCAGGCTCCTTAGCGGCTGTGTCTTTGGCAAACACTTCCCTCAGTCCGTGCTCATTTAAGGTCTTGCTCAGGTCCAGAGGCTCTTCAGAATAAGAGTCTTTCAGTAATATGGTGGTCTCCACTTGAAACTCACACTTGTCACACACCGCTGGCAGCAGCATCTCAAGGGCCACTCTTGGATTGACTCGCACCACCGTCTTATGGGACTTATTGTAGTTTATCAACAGACGAACAGATGCCTGCAGAGAGAGATGATACGTACTGTTTATCTTATGCAACAATGGAAAGAAAGTCTATGGCTTAAATTGTGTTTTTGTACAGATTTAAACCACTTTTACCTCAGGCATGTATGGCCTCCTGATCTTTTCCTCCACCACTCTGGGCTTCAGCACAATCTTCTCCGCTTCCAGGGAGCCAATAGGAGAGTTGGGTTTGAAGCTGATGTTGTTCTTGTTAGGCGAGAGAAACTCAACAGTGTAGTCAGACGGATTCAGATGGTAACTCGCACAGAGGGTCACCAGTAAGTCCATCACTGGTTTACTATTAAGAGAGAGTGAATAATTGACCATCAATAACAGATACTGTATTACATCCAAAGATCTTGCAAAGGTATGAAACTGACAGGTGAAACTTTATCAAAACACTAGAGGTTGACAAAGAGGAAATAGACCAAACAAAGGTATTAAAGTAATTGAAAAGGCTATTTATATTGTTTTTAAATGTTTCAAATCAATGCAGCTGAGCTCAATATATTCTGATTTGTGTAGTATGGCTTAAGCTCCAAGACTATTGTATACAACATTTCCCATAATAAAATTTAAACCAGCATGTGAATAAAACAGGTCAATGGCATCAAAAGTGGCATTAGCATTTAGTTTTGAAAATGAAAAAGCCGTAGTGCCTTTAGTTTTTGCACATTATCTGTATGTTTGTGTAATAGGGTCTACCTTCCATGCACTGTGGCGTTTTTCTCCATCCCCCCTGGCAGAACCACAGACAGACAGTGGTCTCTGTCCAGTGGATTCTCCTGCTCACCCATCGCCAGATCAGATGCTGTTCCCAACGTCAGGTAAACCTCCTGAAAGGGAACACATATTTCAGTAATTAGTGTCAATGGGAGAACCATACCTCATATTACCTCACACACACAGATGGTGTCAGGGTGGCAGTGTGAAATGTCTTACTGCTGCTTGAAGACATTCCAAGAATGAGATTAGAAGGACTAACTACAACTCCCATAGAGAAGGTACATCTAAAAATATATTATTCATTGTATTGATGCAAATGTCATCATGAACAACCCAAATAAAATCATTTTATCTTAGAATATGAAGAAACCCAGCAAATACACCCTTTTAAACGGTTATAAAAAAAAAGTGTGGTTACATTTCTGTGTGTTGATTAATGGCGTAATCGTTTCAACTCGATTCACTGTGGAGTAAATCTGATTATGCTTTTACAGATTACTGTTTATTAAAAAGTTAACCTACATCTTCGTTTTGCTACAGATACATCCTTATATGTGACATTTAAGGCTACTTATTTACCTGCCAAAACTTTGAAACGTCAAAGAAATGGGGCAAATAAATAGTGTCAAACGTCAGCGGTTACCTGAAGAGCCTCTTTCCTCAAACCTGACGGTCCAAATCCAAATCCGCCAACCGAACTAGTTCCACTCAGAAATTACGTCACGTTGAAAGCTGAGTTACAACCACAAATTTAAACGCATGCAACTTTAGTTTTCTACTGAAAATTACGAAGCGACTTGCAACGCTATCCTTCGCTTTTAAGATGAAGTTAGACCCTCCTCGTCTCCCATCTAATTTAACCGCTGTCACTTTTGCCCTTTGCCCTTTTGTAGGTGTTTATCGTCGCCTCTCTAAACAGTTTGATTAAAGTCAACGACCATTCTGTATGTAGTCGTTAATAACCTTATGCTAATTTCTACTAGTTCTAATTATTACAATTTTCTATATAGTATTTTGTTTTCTAGAGTTATAAAATAATTTAAAAAAAATAGAGACTGATAGTTTGCTAATAAAAACGGTAGCATATTAGTTTAGATGCTCAAAGTAGAGCATATTATCCACATAGGTCTGTTAATAGAAAAAGAGAAATAATATTCAATGTAATTTCTCTGGTAAACTGCTCCATAGTTAACATTGTTTCACTATTATGTTCTTTATTTTACATGTTTGTGTTCCTATTCTCATGCTATTGCCCTACCAGTTCTGTTAACACAATATTTATTTTACAAAATAATATTTTGTGTTCATAGCCTAATGCTTATTCCTACTAGTTATGCTAAAAACAAGTTATTTCTTTTTTATTTCTAGACAAACATATACAGAAACTGCAAAAAACAAGCTTTAAAGTAAGCTAATAATATAACTAGCATCGGTGGAAATAATATTTAGTGTTATTCTCCTGACTTTATATTATAAGGACACCATGAAACCTGTTTTTTATATCAACAAACAATCTATTTATATAGCTCATACATGAATAGATCCATACCATCCTGTCTGTCCTCAGCCTTGTTGTCTAACAGTAATGCTGGCTGCCAAATAAGATTACAGTGTTTCTACAGTAAGAGGGATTAGGGCTTTTAAAGGGCTGCGTCTCCCTATGCTCCCATATTTAGAAACCCTTAACTGATTATAAATGCACCCATAGCTTTTCACACTTACCCGTGTCCACAGATTCTTCCCATTCTCTGTTACCGTCCTCTTCTGTTTTATTAAGTGTTTGAAGAAGAGAGATGTTCTTCCCCCTGTAATCCCTGTTTAGCAGACAAGCCACCACACCTCCAGGCCCTGCCCCGTCATGTGACACTCTGTGCATGTCTGTGTGTCCTGTGAGAGTGCTTGTGGGGGGGGGGTATCTGCATGGGCATGTGTATGGTGACCTGGTGAACCTGTCTGCAATGAGAAAGCTCTCCCTTGACCACATCAATGATACAAATAAAGAAGAATACTACAATTTGTAGAAAGGCCTTTAATCCCACTGATCCTCCAATAGCAGTATCTCGTCTGACAGTAAATGCAGTTATAATGTTGGTATTTTTTTGCACTTTTGTTCCGCTGGAAAATCACACTCTCCTGTCACTCTTCCTCTCCTCCATGTTTAACCCAGCTGGGTGTTCATGCCTTTCAGGGCTTTTAAGGTCTTCTGGGAAACGTAGTAAATCACTTATTGTGTAGAAGTAGGCAGGTTGCGAGAGAATTGTAGACCAAAAATAACCCTAAGAGTGCATTTCACCATTGATACTCAACCTTGACCCCATAAATTGTCACAATTGTTTCATTTTTGTAGTCTTGAACTATGTAATCGTATAGCCCCTCCATCAAGTCTCATGTGGAGTATCACTTACTCTCACTATAGGTGGGAATGGGTAATTATAGAACAGTTATTCATCAAAAGCCTTGACTAATGGAATTTGTATTTATCTGATAAGTCATTCCACCCATAAAGAGATCAGTTGTTAGCCCGTTAATGACTGAAAGACAATGATTGCTTGTATTATCATGCAAAGCACCTGATTTGTCTGAATACAGTTAGTAAACAGTAGCAGGCAGTTAGTGGGAGTTTTAATCAAATGAAGCCAGGGAACACATGCTCACACCTACTGTAATCTTGTAATCTCATTGTGAAGTCTGTCGGGGAGAATCAATGGGATTGTGCTGTAAACAGATCAGTGTGTGTGTGTGTGTGTGTGTGTGCGTGTGTGTGTGTGTGTGTGTGTGTGTGTGTGTGTGTGTGTGTGCGTGTGTGCGTGTGTGCGTGTGTTTGCGTGCGTGCGTGCGTGCGTGCGTGCGTGCGTGCGTGCGTGCGTGCGTGCGTGCGTGCGTGCGTGCGTGTGTGTAGGGGTTAATGAACTGCTTATGATGACTAACAGATGAACAGAAAGCCTGTTAGTCACACTACCCAGTCTGCCTCCATGTCTCATCTTTTGTGAAATGGAAGAAATGCAGTGTCTCGAGGACAGAGATGGATTTAGCCTCGGCCTATAGCAGGGTTTCCATCCTCATTGTGCGATGGCGTGACACTCAAGCTTTATTTTTCCCGTCAGAAGGAAATCAAGATGGCAACAATATGAATTTGTTTCCTCTTCTCCACATTGGATGTGTAGGTCCACTCTATTGTTGAATACATTCATGTAAACTCAGGAAGTGTTTACCCAGCAGTGCACAGAATATGGACTGCTTGATCTATTTTCTGTTTTATATAAACTTGTGAACTGTCTGTTTTTCCAGCTTCACTGTAAAGAAAGCAGAGCAAGAAACAGAATGCTACATTAGAGTGTTGCTGCCAAATAGAAGCCTTCTTATTAAGTGCTACAACAACTTCAAAGAGTAAAAAATGACCACATAAGTGACTGAAATGCCCATCCTCGATATTGACCTACAAAATATCAGTCAAAGAGACACATACAGATGAGAAAAAGACTCAAAATGACCACAAAGAGATGCAGAAAGAGGCCAAAACAACTGCAAGGAAAAGCAAAACTGCACAGTGACTATGAAAAGGGGCAAATTTAAACACACAAAAAGCTATTATTGACTACTAAAAGACAAAAACAATTATAAAGTGACCACCAATACACGCAGTGACAAAATCACAAAATGACCACAGATAAAAACGAATTGACCACAAAAACAGATATAAAAACAGATGCGCAACGACTACTAAAACAACAACAAAAAAAGGGAAATACAGCTATAAACTCTGTGTTTTTATCCTTCCTTGGGCACAGCCTAACTCTGACTTCCCACTGTTTGAACATGGCTTCCAAATTCATCACTTTGTTTCTAATGAAACATGCAGCAATGTGACAGAGAGATGTCGATATGCCGCTGAGGAAACATTGTTCACACTGAGGGAATACAACCAGACACACTGCACTTTCTACCCCTTTTCCACATGGATGTTTCAGTGTTATGTATAGTTACATTTATTTGACCACGTATTATTAATCAGGAGTCACTTTCTTCAGCAGAAAAACATAAATAATATTATATAAATTGCATTAATGCCTGCTTGTAAAAGTATGTTTAAAGGAGTTGTCAGTTATGTTCATATGGAGATGTGAAAGTGAGAGTGACATGCTACTCCACTGAGTACCACTCACCGAGGGGTGGAGTTTACACACTCTTTTTCAAATCTTAAATTGAGTTTGACCCCTTATTTGAACACACCACTATGAAATAGATTCATACAGTATGTGGGCCATTTTCAGAATATGTTATATCCCTGTATTATAATTTGTTGTCCATTTATGTGTTATTTTATATTTTGCAGATGGTAAAGGAGTCACTAACTTTAATTGCTTTCTATAAATCATTAGTAGATTTAACTTGGAAGTGTAAAGTAGCATAGAATGCAAGTTGAAGTACTCAAAAATGAACTTAAGTACAGTACTTGAGTAAATATACTTAGTCACTTTTACTTTGTAATTTAAAAGGTAATTCCACTGACTGTCCACAAGATGGCGTCAATTCACAAGAAAACCAGAGGGAGTTCAATACACTAGTGTGGAGTCCACGTGCTTTCTCAAACACCACTATTATGCTATAAAGTTGCATGTACAAACACGTATAGAAATTGACAATAAAATATAATCAGACAGTATAAAAAGAACGACAACAAATAGGTTATAGTATTTCCTTTAGCTTTATTTATTTTAAGAATAACCAGCTTAAAAAGCTTGAAAACTAAAATATAGGCTTTTTTTTTCAAACAAAACGAAATTGATTGTATTGTAATTACATTAATGATAACTTTAATGAATAATTAAACGACAGGAAGTTACCAAAATAAAACTAATTTGAACTGAATGACTACATTATGGTATAACGTAGCCTAATAACGTATCCAGTCTGCCTAAAAAAAAAGGTTGCATGTAATTTGTCTTATAATAATTATAAATATGTTGCTGTATACTTGTTTTTTTTATATTTTATAAAAGCGTATACAGTATAGTCAGTCCATGTTGCGACAGTCACAGCACATCCATCCCCTGCCTAACCAACCGGAAGCGCGGATTGATTTCTCCATGCAAGCAAGGGCGGCTAAAGAAAACAAATCAAAGGAGCGCTTATTAAATGACAATCCACCAAGCGTTGAACAGGACTTTACAAACGAAGATTTAAAAGAATATAAATCTGATATTGACTGACTATCCGCTTTAAAAAAGGATTACTCTTTCGGGTATGGGATCTACCTTCAGGGTCCCCACCTGCTGGGCACCGTAATGGTGGTGAGTATACAGATCTTTGGGGAAGCTTTATTGATGTGACAGCTCCCTTTGATTGAAATAAAATCGGGTTAAGTTCGATTTTTACGCTGAGACAATTCACTTTCTGTAATGTGAAGTGCAGTGTGTGAATTCAACACCTTTCTTACAATGAATAAGACATTTTAAATCTGTCTGTATTTTTTCTTTGATCTTTTTCCGCTTGTTGCGCGCGTGATAGGTCCACCCTACCACAGTATAAGCTACATTTTAAAGGAATTTCCCTGTTAAAATATCGTTTTTATTACGCAGATATTTAGTTTTTCACTTCATAGAGATGTCCATTTCACTGGTGGGGCATTTCATTTACCTAATATTGCCAGGTTATGGACTGTCAGATTACATTTCCAATCGAACAAAATTAACGAAAATGACCTCCGGGGTTTGATAAACAAAATGGGCTTCAAATATGAGCTAAAGCCCGTCGTGTTGTGAGGTAATATCCCTCATTTCCTGTTCATAACATGTCATGCAAGAAGGGCTTGGATTTACAGAGGTTTCATATGTAAACCATGGAGGGAGGTGACAGAAAAAACAAAGGTCTATTTCTATTTTTGGTACCAGTTGCTCTAAGGAGAGGACACGCCCAGACTCATTGAGTTATTCATGGTAAACCTCCTGTCAGTGAGCCTAAATACTTATTACATATTTCCCATTGAATAAGATTTAGACTCTAATCAGGGTTTACATTTTAGGTGTTTTTTTGTGAAAGTATATGGAACATGGAAGTGAGGATAAAAAAACGTATGAAGCAGGAAATAATTAAATTAGTTAAATGAAAGTACTACTTGGAGCCATTTTAATTACAGTTCAAAGACCCCATGTGGCCCCCGGACCTCAGTTTGCACCGCTGGTTGATGGTTGTCTGCTGCCGTTGTCTGCTGCCGTGGAAGACATTGAACGTCACAGCCTTTTAGTCGGTGACAGCCACCGGTGTGTACGTGTGCTTCTGGCTCTTCTTATTTAGCCTACTGCTTCTGGGTGTCGTCGTTCTGCTGGTGGCGTATTTTGAGGAGGTGAAGACATGTCGGCTGATTCAACAGGCTTTCACTAGTGGCAATTTCAAAAAGTGTCCCTTTTTTTCACTGAAAACAAGCGGATACAGCCACAACATGGCGACAGCAGCCGCGGCTCGTTTTGAGACCGAGACAATTAAGGTATCGTCTGCCACCCGTCGTATATTTATTTTGAAATTAGCCTTATTAGCTACTTTGCTACAACTTTCAAGTCGGTCTCTATCTGTAGTCATGAATTGTTTTTAAAAAAAAGTAACGTAAAGTGTTTGCTATAGCTTATTACAGGTGCAGGGGGTCTTCAAATTGCTTTAAGGTCAAGCTATGGGATAATGTACATTTAATATTTCATTTAAAATATGTCATAGGTAGGTTTCCATTTTCCCTGTTTTATCTGTTCTCTTTTTCTATAACCACAATAGACGCCCTTTTGAAACCATGTCAGCTAGAATT